GGGCTTTCAGGAAGTTGGATGGTCTCGTTACTGGCGGCACATATGTGAACATACACAGACACATGTAAGTGTATGCTCGCACACACCTGCCCCACCCACGCACGTACACATCCACAGACATGTGCACACTCACATATCTCCACCCACACACATGCACCCGCTCACACATGCCCCTGCTGGGTCGTCATGTCTTACCCTGGTCATGTTAGTGGTGGTTCTCGGTTTTCGGAGGCTGCGTTTTTGTTTAGAATTGCAGGTGTCAATTCCAGCCTTCCTGTGGCAAACATCAAAGCAGGACTGACCCCTTCTGTGTGTGTGCTTTGATTTCAGACGCTGCGAGGCTATCACTGGCGCGGGAGGGACTGTAATGACAGCAACGGGGCAGTTTATCCAGGCCGAAGGTAACTAGCTCAGCTCATCGTGCTTTGGAAAAACTGGCTCCTGCAAAAGCAGCAGGAGGCACGGGTCCTTGCCCTAGCCTAGGAGATGCACTCACGTCAGAAAGAGGTTTCTACATCCCAGAGAGGAAGATCTTCCATCCGCTGATTCACTCCCCAAGTGGCCGCAATGGCCAGAGCTGAGCCAATCCAATCCAAAGCCAGGAGCTTCTTCTGGGTCTCCCACATGGGTTCACAATCCCAAGGCTTTGGGCCATCCTCAGCTGCTCTCCCAGGCCACAAGCAGGGAGCTAGATGGGAAGTGGGGTTGCCAGGATACAAACCAGCACCCCTATGGGATCCCAGGCATGCAAGGTGAGGACTTTACCCACTAGGCTATCGCACCAGGCCCAACATCCCAGTGTTAAGGAAGCTCAACAGTGCTTCATGTTTCCATGAGTTGCCTACTAAACACCAACTACCACCCAAACACTTTGTTTGATGTGGGGTGGTAAGGAAACAGAAATAAGCCTGTTCTTGTGCCTGGGAAGAACAGGCAAGGAAATGGTTATTGTGGATATTAACTCAGCCTCCTGCACAAGTTCCACACACAGGATAAGCACCAGGACGGTGGCACTGCCCTGAAGGAGTAAGGACACGTGAATGAAAATGAATGGAAACTGGGTTGCATGAGATCTGATTTGAAAGTTCCAACCATGATTTAGCCAAGCCTGCAGAGCAAAAGCAGCAGGAAAACCAGATGGTGAGGCTGTTTAGATGTATCACTTGTGTGGCTTTGCCTATCTAAATGAGATTGTTGGCAGATGTGCAGTGTTTCACAGAATCATCCCAGAGCCACAGAGCCCACAAAGAGTCGGTCATGAAAACCACTGGATTTGGCCTAGGCTTTCGCACCCAACATCCAAACCAAGATTAGTGCAGAGAGGCTATGTAGAGGTTTCTTGTACCAACAGCATGCAGTGGCATGTGGCACTCTTCCAGAAACTCCTCTGTTATCCCTCCATGATGTTTTGTGTAGCACTCATTCATTCATTCTTGAAACGAACACTACTGAGGGACAAGCAAATGCCAAACACTGATGTTGATGTTTTCTCTGTAGGCCGGACAACTGGGATGCACATCAGGATTCGAACTGTAATGGCATTTGGGTAAGCAACAAAAATCAAACTTAAGCCCATTCTCCTTATTTCTACCCTCTCCCAAAAACCACTGCCTGTTTGCTTTGGCAAGATCTATGGAAGCAGCTCGCAGTCGAAGGCAGCACTTTTCCTGTTGCTTGGGAATGTGTGTGTAGAATTCCAGTCACATGTGAAGAGTGTTAATGTTATAATAAGAATTAAGGCTGACTGTCATGGTCCCTTTAAGCTGTGCTGAAGGTCACCCACATCCAATCCCTTTACTCTGTTTTGAACAGTGTGAAATGAAATGGGAACTGATACTAGCAATTTTACAGACACTCAAGCAGCTAGTTGGGGCAAACCCTATACTGTCACCATTTTGGTGTAGCCAATGTCTTCCATTACATAAGTCTAGCCAGGCAGAGCAGAAATAACCCTGTGTTTATCCCACTAGTCACATCTCAAGTTCCCTAGAATCAGTAGTGTGGCAGCTTCCATACACAGAAAAGGGAAGGAAAAGGGGATAAATGACCAGATATTGGCTTGTGGGCAGCAGGCCCAAGTTTTGTAGACTTGTAAGCCACTCTCAGGGACACTAATGGTCTGGGCCTACACAACTAAACACCTACTACGCTTTTTGGGTCCAATGGCTTTTAGGTTATGAAGAAAATGACAGATGCCTATGGCCCAACTCAATTCTCAGTCACACTGACTTTTCATGGACAAAGAGCAAACCTCTCCCCCAGAGGTTAATGTATCAAACCCCAAGGCAGCTCTTGTTCCGATAACCCAAGCTCCACTGTCCTATTATAACACAAAGGGGGCTGGTGAGTCGATGAGTAGGTTGGTCTGCAGTCTTTGCTCCATGGTCCCACTGCTGTTCTGGATGTGGTGTGCTTCTCTATATAAGGTGAAGAGCCAAGCAAAGACCAACGGAAATGTATGAGCTCCTGAGAGTCAGACTCAGTGCTCATAGTCAGCGATGGGACAGAAGCACATCCCCTGCATCCCTCTGCTAGGCCCGAGAGGAAACGTGACTCTCGGACTGTCCAGAGGAAGGAGAGGTGTGTTTTTTTCCTAAGATTTATTTATTTTTATTTGAAAGGAAGATTTACAGAGAAATGGAGAATCAGATCTTCTACCTACTGGTTCAATCCCCAATGGCCACAGCGGTGGGAGCTGAGCCATTCTGAATCAAGGAGTCAGGAGCCAGGAGCTTCTTCCAGATCTCCTCTATGGGTGCAGGGTCCCAAGAACCTGGGCCATCCTCTACTGCTTTCCCAGGCCATAATCGGGGAGCTAGATGGGAAATGGACCAGCTGGACTACAAATTATATGGGATGCCAGTACTTGATGGTAGACAATTAGCCCATTGGGCCATAGCACTGACCCCAGGAACCTAGAGTTAAGGGTGATGTGGATAGGCCTAGGGTTATGGACTTTATCACCCACTTAAGTTCAGGAAGTCCTGAGTCAAAGACAAACAGTTGCATTTACTTCCAGATTTTTCAGAATCTTTAATGTTTTAATAGACAAGAAGCTTCAAGTCCAGGAGGCAGAATATACTGTTCCCAACAATGTATCTCCAACATGCAAGCCCTTCTATCTTGAAATGGTGTTAGCATCCCTGACAGGAGCCAGCCACTCCCTAAGGAGCAGCTTTTGCTGTAAGCAACTGTTTTTCCCCGTCCCCCTCCCCTGCCCCCACAGTGCCCAACACATTTCTGGGTTTCTGAACCTTTGCACTGTTGCCATTGGGTTGGGTGATTGTTGTGTCTGCAGCAGCCCTGGCCTCTACCGCTAGCTACCCACAGCTCTTCCACCCTGCTGTGACCAGAAAGAAATCTCTTGGGGATATTTACCAGTGCTCCTTGGGTTCAGAGTGAGGCTGGAGGACAGGAAGCAGACAGGTAGAACTCCTGCCCCAGGATATTAACTTTTAGGTAAGGGAGATGCTGGGACCCTTTGAGTTCCCTTTCAGAGACCTTTGAACCCGCCCTGCCTTGCACCTCAGCCATGAAATGAGAGCCTGGTCTGAAAGCTCTCCCAGAGCTATGCTATGCAGCCTTCTGGGTAAGAAGTCCCATTTCCTCTAAGTGTGACTTGTGGGAAGTATTGCCACTGTGGACTAAGGACTCACAAGACGTGAGCGCACTTTACCGATTTGCTCTTCTGCTTTTGAAGTCAGGGAAGAGAAAGTATGGGTGTCTTATCACTGCTAACTCAGCAATTCTCCTTTCAGGGTGTGGATCCTCAAGATGGCATTCCCTATGAGAAGAAGTTCTGTGAAGGTAGGAACTGCACAAGTCCAGGTGCTTGCTACAGCGGTCTTCCCCAGTCTGAGTCAAAGTGAAATGAGCAGGCTGCCTCGGCGAGGGAGTGCCTGATGCTAGAGCTCATTTCAGGTTCATCGATCTACATTTCTTCTCAGGACGGATCAGGAAAAGGCATGGACATGGTGTGGGGAAAGAGGTGGAATGTGGAAAATGCAAAATGACTTTTTAATTGACTGTCGTGCTTGCGGTTTAGAAACTAGAATGAGGACAGCAGAAGAGACTGCAGGACGTAAACGGGAGTAGCAGGAATCTAGGACGTGGCTAAATAAGCAACCCAAGGAAAGCCACAAATGAATGATTTAATTCTTTGCATTTCCTTCTTGGTGTGCTGCAAGGTCAGGTTTTGGGGCTTGCATTAATATGGAGCGAATCCTTGTTTGAGCTAACAATGCATGTCTGAATAAACTGAGGCAGACAGCCAAGTGATAGCCTTGAACTAAAACAGGTGAGCAAGTTTCTTGCCCTAAAGCCCAAATGCCAGCAGTACTGTTACGAGCCTCACCACACCCATAATTTAAAAATGCTCTTGGTGATACTCAAAACAATGTTAAGTAAGACCCAACGGTAACATCACTCTGTTTGGGCAATGGTATTCTTTGGTGGCATTACACCCATTTATTTGGTAAGTATTGCCTGAACAACTATTATTGCTAAGGGCTTTGGTTGGCTCTGCATTTTCTTTCAGTTTAAAAAGCTTTATTTATTTGTACTTGAAAGGTAGAGCTATAGAGCAAAGAATCCGCTGGTTCACTCCCCAAATGGCTGGAGCTGCTTCTGAGTCTCTCATGCGGGTGCAGGGGCCCAAGGACTTGAGCCATCCTCTGCTGCCTTCCCAAAGTAGAGAGCTGGATCAGAGGTAGAACAGCCAAGATATGAAACGGTATCCATAGGGAATGCTGTTGTTGGCTCTGCATTTTCATGGGGAAAAAATAATCATAATTTCTTGCCTTGTCCAACTTAAAATGTACTTGTCTTTAAGCTCTCAGAAGGATGGGCAGAAGGATGGAAGGAAAATGGAGGGCTATGTTGTGTATTTAGATAGCTGAGAAATCCTTTGTGGGATGAACTAAAGACCAGATGAGTGAACAGGTGCACATAGGGCTTCCTAAGTGAAGCCTCCCACCCACCCCTGCGCCTTCCAAGATAGGAATGCCTGGACAGTTCAGTCTCCACCTGTGTGGTCAAACCATATGGTGAGGGTAAGATTTTCAGACTTCGCTCAAGGCTGCGAAGTGAAGAGAGCCCACTCTGCTTGCCGAAGCTCCAGCTGGTTCTTCCAGGGGATGGATGAAGCACTGGGCAAGGCTGAATGTTTTCAGCCATCAGTCACTTCATTTCATAGGGGTAGGTTTCCTCCCTCACCTGCATGTCTCACTGCCCCTATCCTTCACTCCCCCACTGACTGACTGCCAACCTCACCAACTCTTCTCTACATCTCATTTCCTCTATCCCTCTCAATCCCTGCATCCTTCTCTCCATACCTCCCTATCTACATGTCACTTTCTCTTCCATCCCACTCTACACACCTAATCTCTTCCCACCTCTTTGCATACCCTCCTCAGTCTATCCCTCTCCACATACGCCATGCTGTCCAATACCTAACTCCATCGTTGCCTCTGCATTCCTCACTCCCCCTAGCCCTCTGTATAAAATATTCCACATACTTGGTGTCAACCCCACTCTATCTGCCTTACTTCCTCACATGCCTCATTCAACTCCTGCTGCTCTACTTGCCTCAGTACTTCCCTGCATTCCTCATTCCATCTCCCATTCCCTCCAATCCCCCTGTGAACACCTCACTCACTGCATCCCTCTCCACTCCTCTACAAACCTCACTCTTTCCTTCCCTGTCTGCATCCCTACATAATCCACTCCATCCCTGCCTCTTTCTCTAAAAACCTAACTCTGCCCCTCTCTATCGACATGTCTCACTTGAGACCCTCACTAATTTCCTGCTTCTCTGTTGACTCCTCCAGCCCTCCCTACACTTCTCTATTCATATATCACTCCTTGCAACCCATTCTATTCACCTCACTATCTCCATTCTTAGCTATATCTCACCCCTTCTTACCCTCCATCTTTCTCTATATACCTCACTTCTATCAATCTCCACACGTCACCCCAAACGGCCTCTCCACACACCTCCCTCTTTCCCTCCCACCCTCTCAATCACACCGCAGACCCTCTCCACACAGCCCACTCCCTCTCTGAATAGCTCACCCTCTACATACTGAGCTCCATCACTGCCTCTCTCCAATCCTCATTAACTCCATCCCTCTCTCCACACTTCAATCCCTTCCTTGCTCTCCACTCTCCGTCTACTCCTCTCCACAGTATGTACTCCCTCTGGCCGTCTCTACGTACCTCATTCCCCTTCTGCTTTCCTGAATCCCCTAGTTTCATTATCACCTCAATCCCTCTACATTCCTCACTCCCTCTATTCTGCTACTCTGCTTACCTCAATACCTCCTTGCCCCTCATTCCACTTACATTCTATGTACTTCAAACCCTCTGGAAATATGTTATTAACTACACCCTTCTCTACACAGCATCTCTTCCATCTGGACATATCTCACAACCTCCCCCTCTCTCCACATACCCCACTCCCTCTATTCCTATCTCGAAACCTCAATCCTTTCTTCATTCTCTCACTCATTCCATCTCTTCACACCAAATTTTCAATGCTTTCTACCAACATCCCTCCCTCACTTCCTCCATCTCCTTTCTTTCCTCTCTCCACACCTCACTCCCTCTATCCCTCTGGATGCATTTCATTCTCTCCCTGCCTCTCTTTTTCTCTCCTCCACATACCTCACTCTCTCCGTCCCCCTCTACACACATCAGTCCTTTTGGGATTTTCTACATGCCTCATTCCCACCATCTCCCTAAATACCTCACAAACACTTTCTCTCGACACCTCACCCTTTCATGTCTTTCTAAATAGCTCACTCCCTCCAACTCTTTACACAACACACTATTCCAACACTGTCTCGGTACCTCATTCCCACTACCCCTCTCTACACACCAAACACCTTCCATGAATACATTCATACTTCACTCCCTGCCTCTCTACATTTAAATCCTTCTCTGCTACACCATCCCCTCCATCATACCTCACTTCCTCTAGCAATCTCAACACACCTCAATTCCCACTTGCCTCACTCCACCCGTTTGTCTACACACCACAGTCCCTCTCAACATTTGTCACTCCATCCTATCCCTTCACCTGCTCTACACACCTGACTCCTGTATTCCTCTCCAGATACTGCACTCCCATCACTCACTTCCTCCATGCCTCTCTAAACCACACTCCATCCATCCTCTCCTTACCACATTCTCTCCCTGCGTCCATAACTCCTATATCTACCTCACTATTACATCTCTTTCTAAAAAGCTTATACCTTCTAGCCCAGGTGATCACACCTCAATGCTTTCCGTCCTGTCTGCAAACCTCACTCCCTGCCTTTCTACTGTCTTCAATCCCTTACTTCCTCTCTCTCCCTACAGTTCTCAACACACTCTCTGTATCCCTGGCTATTTCCTCACACCCTTTATCCCTCTTATGTCCCTCACTTCTTCATTACCTCTATTCTTCATACCACACTCCTTCCAGCTCTAGTTCACTTCATCATTCCTGGCTACACAGCTCATCCCCTCCCTGTCTACAGAATTCAACCCTTGCTTCATTTTGAACATTCCTCTCTACACACCGAACTCCTCCCTGCTTCTCCACATACTTCACGCCATCCCTGCCTCTCTAGATAACTCCCCCCCTTTCTTCCTTGCTACTTCCCTCCCTCATCCCCTAAACCTACCTGTCTCCCTCACTACTAATCCTCCTTTCCTCCTGCCTAGCTCGCTCCCTCCAACCTTTTTTACCTGCCTACCTTCTTACCTCTCCACTTACCTTCATTCCTCTCTCCTGCAACTCCGACCTTCAAAAAAATGAGGGAAAAAAGCAGAGAACATACATAAAAAACCTTTTTCAAGTTAGAACTCAATGCAAATGGAATGCATTTATGAACTTTTAATCAGGGCAACAACATACAGGAACTCTAACATTAAGAATGCTAACACTGTGAACATACCATCCTGCCTAGGTTCACAGCCCAGAGGGATCATTCTGCTGGGAGACTCGGCGGGCGCTCATTTTCACATCCCTCCCGAATGGCTCACAGCTTCGCAGCTGTCTGTGGTGAGTAATCCTGGCAGCAGTTGTCCCGGGTGTGCCGGCCTGTGTATGTTTGCCCTTGCTCTCTCTACACGCAATGCCAACTCCAAACACGTGCAAATTTCCATCAAAGGCACCACGCTCACTGCTTCTGTGCCAGGCAGGCAGAGGGTTTCTCCCTCTCACCCTAGCCCAGAATGCTCAGGATCCAGCCCCAGGAAAAAAAAAAAAAAAACAAGACTACTGTCCCTTCCTAAATCACGGTGGCACTGATTATTATTTGAAAAGCAGAGAAAGGCAAAGAGGTGTCCTGTGTGCTGATTCACTCCCCAGATGCCAAATCTAGACCAAGCAGAACTCCACCCAGATCTCCCGCACGAGTGCCAGGGACCCAGTTACCTGAAGCCACTTGCTGCTTGCTAGGGTGCACATCAGCAGGAAGCTAGTATTGGGAGCAAAACCAGAGATGACTGGCGTAGCAGGTATCAGACACAGCAAGAGTGGCACATGTTCCTCGGAGATCAGCTCCTCAGTGTAACTGGCCCGCTTGGTCGAGTTACTCAGGTTCAACCTGCCGCAGTTCACGTGTTTCCCCTAAAAGGTCCCATTGCTGCTGACAGATTCTACAGCATTTGGCCTCTGATGGCTGTGTCTGCATTGAACAGGTAGACTTTTTCCTGCTGTTAATCTCTAAACAATACTGTTTAAATATTTACACAGAATTTATATTGCATTAAGTATTAGAAGTAATCCAGAGATGACTTAAAATGCAGAAGAGGATGTGTGGAAGTTAAATGCAGGCACTTGACTAAGCGCAGCTTTTGCAAGCCTGGCACCTGCGGGACAAATGTACGATGGTTGACAGGGGGAGGATGTGGCAACTCGGCATGTTCCCAGTTCCTAACCCACATGAGAGGGTCCATCTTCTTCCTCATACCAATACCCGGACTGTGCAGGGAATCCCAGTGCACATGCCACAGCCCATGTCATGCTCTGCAGCTATGGCTTCCCAGGCCACAAACATCCACCACCCTGGGACAGGCCCAAGGCACATGAACCCATGCCTGCACCCAGGTGCCCCCATGGCAGGAGACAGTGACAGCAGAAATTATATGCCTCCTGTTGTCACCCGGGTGAAAGATGCTGCCATGGCAAGGCAAGAAGGAGAACTCAAGTAAGGGTGGGACTGGCCAAGGCTCCCTTCCCTGGGAGGCACCAGGCTCCACCATGACCCCATCCCCCTCCCCTCACCAGTGATCTATTGTTCCAGAAGACTTGGACAATCCCCGGTTCACAAAGATTCTCATTAGTCTATTTTTACCTTTGCTGCTTGTTCTCTGGGGTTGAAAGGAAAATTTTGCAACAGTTCTGCCGAACAACCAGGGCAGTAACTAAAAGGCAAAATACATTTGCCCCTGGACTTACCCCTGAACACTTCATTTCAGAAACAGCCTCTGCAGCATTTTCAGCAAGGAAAAATGTTTCAAGAATATTCTAAGTCAAGTCATTGCTCTACATGAGGACTACAGAATATTCTTGATTAATTGAAAACTCAAACACATCATTTTGGAAGAAAAGTTACCTCAACACGTATTCTGGAGCAGCATTTTGCCTAGTGTTAAACACCAGGTAACATGCCTGTATCCCACATCACAGAGACTGGACACCTGACACCAGCTTCCTGCTAATGCAGACACTGGAAGGCAACAGGAATAGCTCAAATGACTAGATCCCTGTAACCAATGTGGGAGACCTAGATTGAATTTGTAACTCCCAAGAGGCCCTGGCCCAACCCTGGACATTACAGGTGTTTGGGGGAGTAAAGCAGTGGATGGGAACTACCTCTGTCTCTAATAAATAGTATTCTTTTAAGCCATGTTATATAAGATGAATACACATTATATATACTTGAAAGTGATATATAATCAATAATGTCAAGTCATAAAAATTAAAGACAAAATGTAAATCCTCTAATTCAGACAGAATCACTACATGTTAATTAGAAAGTGCTTGCTGTGGCAACGATACATGTTAATTAGCTTCCTGATAATGTACCTGGGAAAGTTGCAGGGTGGGGGTTAAGTCCCTGGGCCCCTGAACCTACAAGGAAGATCCAGAAGAAACTCCTGGTTCAGATCAGCTCAGGCCATTGTGGCCATTCGAGGGGTGAACCTGTGGATGGAAAATTTCTCTCTGTAAATCTGCCTTTCAAATAAAAATGAATATATTTTTAAAAAAATAAAGAACCAAACCTTGCTCTTTTAATGATCAAGAACATGACCAATAAATGCACAAAGAAAACAATAATGCAATCCATTTCTCATCTGTTCAGTAGCTAAAGCTGCAAAAGATAAGCACCCAGCTGTAGTGAGATATCGCGAAACAGGCATGCCTCCTCACCCCCAGGACTTAAGTTGCTACAACTGCTGTGAAAGAGACAGTATGTCTACCCTTTTACTCACATGTCTGTGACAGTTACCAGTGTGTGCATTTTGAAGTTTACCTTTAAAAATTATCATTTGGCTCAAGAATATATACACACTAAGATGCTTCACAGAACTACGGATAAGCAAAAGTGAGGAAATAAACCAAAAATTTTAATGGAGGAATACTAAAATATGCACAATGAAATTTTAGTTTTTCCAATAAATGAGAAAAAATGAAATTATGTGAAAAAGTAAGAGTGAGTGGCCGTGTGCTCCTGTGTGCTGGCTCATTTCCCAAATGCCCACAACAACCTGAGCCAAATCAAAACAAACCTGGGGGCTGGGAATGCCATCCGCCTCTCCTCAGTGGCTGGCCAGAACCCAGCTACCCCTCACTGCTGCAGTCCGCACTGCTGGGAAGTGCCAGTCAGAGGCCAGGGCTGCCAGTCAGACCCAGGCAAGTCCATGTAGAATGTATCTTCACCTGCTCTGTTGCTAGGATCAAACAATGCAGTGTTATATAACCATTCATACATGTATTAACAAGGAAATATGGTAAGTTGTTATGGGAAAAAGTTTGCAAAATAGTTTGCTTTGATCAATTTTGTGATTATATTAGTGTATAAATACAAATAAACAGAAGGTTATAAATCAGGGCATTAATAGTGGCTATCTTTGGATGGGAGAACCAGGGGTAGCTTTCATTTTCTATTTTTTCCAACAATAAATGCTTATTATGTATGTACCAAATATTGTACTTTAAGATCTGGGGAATTTATTGTTTTGTTTTAAGCAAATGGCTAAGGGAACCAACCCAAATAAAACCAACACAACGCTTTATTTATTCTTTGTAGAAGCTCTCTGAGGTGGGAGTTATTATAAGACAACCTTTAGATACTCCACAGGTTAAGTAGCCTGATTGAAGTGGTATTACTAACAGGGGCCATAATCACGGCCTGTCCATCTCGAATAAACCACTTAATCAGAAAGAAAAGGCAGCTGTGCCAGGCAACGCCGTGGGCTTCAGAGAGCTAGTGAGCAGGCCAGACAGGGAGAATGCTCACAACCCCTATGAGCGCACTAGCTGACTTCAAGTTCTGGCTTTCCTTCCAATTCCAGCTTCCCAGTAATGTGCACCCTCAGAGGTATCACTCATGCATTAATTAAATCAACAAACAGCCATCCAGGACCTACTGCATGCTAAAGCGCTAAGAGAGGGCAATGCCGCAATAGAGAAAGAGACAGAGACAACCCAGGCCCTCCCAGAGCAGAGCTTAGAGCCTCATGGGGAATTCAGAAGAGTAAATGGCAACTCTAGAGCCATCAAGAAGGTGTTGTAATTCTACTAATGCGGCTAAGAAATGTACAGTGGGGAAACAAGGAAATGCAACACTCAGATGCCACTGAGTATCAACAGTGGGCATGCATTTGGGCACTCTGAGTTCCCCAAAGGACCAATCTCTGCCCAAGCTGGATGACTCCCTAGGCTGGGTCGGCCCCAACTATCCTTATACCTGAAGGAGGCTTCTGGACTCCCATCCTTCACTGCCCCACGGGGTCTAAGCTGACCGTTGGCGACTGTACCAAAAGAACCCCTTGAAAACGTTTCTGGGGCTTATTCCTCTGCACCACACCACACTGCCAGCCCCCAGAGCTACGGCCAGCATAAAATCTACCATCTAAACTGGTCATTCTGACAAAAGATGGACCAAAGCTGGTCACTAGCCTGAACTGTCCAAGACATACCTGGTGTGTAGTCACCCTGCTGATGGCCTGAGAACCTCGTGCCGAGCTGACTCCCAAGTCACGGGCAGCGCCCAGACCCCCAAACTCCCAAGGTTCAGGATATGCTTGGATTTTGCATCAGACTTGCACTAAAATCCTGTCTTAACTAATACACTTGTTTCCTCCTAGCTTTTACTTCCTCATCTGTAACACATACATAATCATGCCTCCCTTGTTAGAAATTTCAGAGTATTTTTATAATAGGCTGTTAAAAACTGGGCTGTTTGTTTCCACCTAAGTTTTAACTGAAGCGCCCCTCCCCCCCAAGAATATAGACCAAACAAATCCTACCTTCTTGCACGATTTCTTCCAAATGAAATGCTAGAGCATCTCTGCAGAACCTGCAGGGGAAAAAAAAGTTCAGCAACAGTCACTTATCTCCCATCGCAAAGGCCTAAAACAGTTGAGACTGGAAATAGTTGAGGGAAAGGATGGCAGGGGCTTAGCACTCCCCAAGTGGGAAGAGAACTGGATGAGGTCTAAGGGGCTGTGGCCAAGGGAGCTGTCAAGTGATACCCAATGAGGAATGAAAGGGCAATGAGGCCAGAAATGACCATGACCCTGATAGGATGTCAGAGGCAAGGTGACCCCCTGGGTGCTTGACCCCGGCACAGCTTAGTGACTGGCAGGGATGTAGGGCAAGCACCAACCCCAACAAGGGAGGTCCAGGCACAAGCCCCTATGTGAAAGCCTCCCAGTCTCCTTCAGCCACCTGCCCAGGCAGAGGCAATCGTAGCCAGCCACACCTCTTCTCCCTGCAATGCCACACCCAGGGCTCAGAAGCCTCAGCCAGGAAGTG